GCACAAATTTCAAAGATTTGACGAACAAGGTCAATCAAAACCTGCACGGCAGGAGAGCCAATGTTCTGGGGTTGGAAAGCTCACATTAATCTGTACTTTTTTTTTTATGTGTAAACAAACATCATGCTGCTGCAGCAGGTAATGTATAGTCTCGGGTGTATAACTTCCGGATGGTTCTATCACATCCGCTGCATTGCATCACTGGTGCATATTCTCCTGCTATTTCTGAAATACGGCCTGTATCTTGTCGTCATTCATTCACGGACTGTACGATTCTGGGACGGCGTTTGCTGGACGGTTGGATTACATCGAATTTGAGTTCCCATTCAAAATACTACAACCTTCGCTCGTTAGCGACGGCTTTTCACGTTGCGCTGTTTCGATCGTTGGTGCCAATCAGCCTTAGCTGCTTTACTGATGAGTGTCTCACCGATACTGTCTTTCACTCCAACAGATCATATGAGCAGGTATCTCTACTGATACTTTATTGAGTTCGAGTTGTTTCTTCCTCTTTCGCTTGTCCTATGATATATACACACTGATAACTTTCACAGACTACACAGCCGCGCCCTATCACTCGCAATATACGCTGCATCATGAAACCACTCTGTCTCATTGCAAACGTCCCGTGCGTGTTCTTAACCTCTCCACATTCCTCCATGTTTACAACAGACCAAACACAACCATTATCACAAGGCACCCACAATGCATTACAACCACAAAGACATCTCACAACATTTCACGATGCCTTCATTCCTACACAGGATGGAGACTCGCCGGCTCCACAACAGCGACATGAAGAGACTTGTCCGTATTTTTCGGCATGTCCCTACTCCCAATGATTTGCGCGATGAGCGCAAGGAAGCGCTATATCGTAAACATACCAAGGAAGCTATACAACGGCTTCCTAGCCGGCTACGCGCTTCGCGGCTCTCTTTCGGCTCAACGAACCTGTGTACGACACACAAGGGCCTAAACCAAAATCTTGTCAATGACATCTTCAAATGGATCCGTCACGAATACGATGGCGCCATCGGCAAGTTTCTCTATCCACTTGTAATGACCCACGGCCTTCTAACGACGGATCAGAAGTTGAAAGTCCGTCAACTAGAACCTGTGCTACGGATGTGGCAACCCAACTTTAGTTCGGGTGCTTCCGCTCCCCCTGGTCATGAGCCGATTCAGTGCGGATCGAAGTGGCACTATCAGGCAGACCAATGCCCGGCTTGTATGATGGCGCGGATGGGATCAGATTCGGATGTTCTTTTTGCTCTGTTCGCCGGTATGGTCGGTCGCTTCAACAGCAAGGCGTTCACGACAATGGATGCGATCCGTAGCGTTGCTGGCTGGGACAGCACTAAGAGCAAACGTCTTCGATTCGTGCGTTACTGGGTCAGGAAGGCGAGTGGAGAAAGCAATATGTTAAGAGCATGCGATCTGGGCATGGATCTCAAACATCTTCGGGCTCAGTGGAAGCATGAGCAACACCGCCACCTTCGTGCACATAGCCGCACGAGAACGCAGAAAACTCCCGTCGGTCCGATGCCCTGTCAAAGTTTAGGTTCATCTACCGTCCCTGCTCATCAGCCCACTTTTAGCCGTTCTGCCTCGACCAGAACTGTAAGACGGCGGCGAGAACAAGAACTAACAGCTCCGAGCCTGTTCGACCCCAAACTAGGTCCTAATCCCTGGCCTCCAGACACTAAGCTCAAGTCACAGGCCGAGGATCTTGGTTTTGAGATGCCCGGTATGCGTAAGCGGGTATACACTATTCCTCACAACCAAGAAGATGTCCATCCGGCTTTGCGAAACCAGCCTGGACTCATACCTTCTCGCTCATCGACAAACGCGTCAAGGCATTATAACGAGTCAATGGCTTCGCATAATCCAGAAAGGACTATCCCGCCTGATGATACCATGAGCCTCCCTACCGTTCGCCTTCCTCGGCACCACAATTCGGACGACCGTCCAGCTCCATTACAGATCAGACGCAGGCCTGTGCCACAACCGTCAGTCGCGGGTTCTACCAGGCAGGAGAACTCTTTCCTCAATCCTCCCGCTTCAATGATCTCCCGCCGATCACTCGCAACCACAGCGCACACGATCGCGTCTTACACCGGCGGCCCATCCTCTCGCACGGGATACATAGATCCTCTCGACAACCCGATCTATGACCACATTGAGACGCAAGAAGAGCGCGTGGAGAAGTACAGACAGCTTCTATCTAGCCATCCTGACCCCGAACCGTTCGCGGAATATGAGGATGACAACGCTTCTGTCTTCCCGAAGCCGCAGCGCCAGTCTATGTATTCTGCTTTCGGGGACGCAGGATTCAATTCTGCGCGTTTCGACGTGATCGATGAAGAACTTGCTGAAGATGAGATTGAGGACTGGGAGCGGGGTGAGCCTGAAGACGACGAGGTGCCTCAGGGATGTGCACTGAATGTGGGTATGATATTGGGCAAGGGAAGACGTCGGAGGGCTAGCGATGCCAGTGTGTGTTCTAACGATTTTTATTAGTATGTTTTGTATGTAGATTCTTCCCTTTTTATGCCCCCTTATACGATTTAAACTCTATTCTTTGGAGTTTTCAGGAGTAAATTGTCTTAACATCATTGATGTGCAGAGCACTCGTCCATTCATCCGTGACGTTGTTCTTTCCTTCTACGATCAGAAGGAATCCTCTCCTCGATGCTGTCCTTCAAAGACACCAAGACTTCCTTGCAAGATGAGTGTACCCATAGGATGGTCTTTCTCTTACGTAGGGTACCGGTGATGGAAGTATCGCGCATCAATCATGGTAGGATGGCTATGCGAAGTATCATTCCATCGTGAGAGCCAGTCGAGTGGAAGTAACATTGAAGAAATTCGATCGATCAATCGGATGCAATCAACTGCGGCACGCAGTATGGGAATACATATCGTATTTAGTCATCAGACGCCCATCACCTAATGTCCAAGGCTAAAACTGTTGATTTGGTAGCTATCATATTGTTCAGCCAACGATGTCTCCGCCAAACCCGATCGGCCGTCGGACTGGGCCTTGCTTCTTATAGGGCACGATAGCCATAGCTTTGTAGGTTTTACCCATGCCGTTTGGCCCTCTATCGACAAGTCGCTTCCAGCCTGTTTCCAAGCGTCTTCGCGTATCTTCATCCTTAGCAGCCTTAAGTAAGCGATCAGCGCGCTCCTTAATGCCCATTGTCGATAAAAAGAAAGACTGTTCAACGGGTCCGTGAACCTCAACACCCGGAGAAGCATCTAAAGCTGCATCTGCAAGGGCGAGAAAGTCCACATCAGCCGAGAGATCTACCAGACCGGGCGATGCAAAAGGCGAGACAGTGGTATGTGAGCGAATGCCCCGGAGAGTGTTCGCTGGGATAGTATCCAAAGGTCCATAATCCAAGATCAAAGCTGCACCAGACGGCTGCGCTTTTACGGAGCTTTCCTCAACAGGAGCACTTCTGCTCGAGGGAGTATGGGATGCTGAGGTGTTGCTAGGCTTAGGAGCGCTGCCACCTATCCGTACAGCGAAGTCAGATACGTAGGCAAAAGATTCAGGCGAGATCTCGATGATCGCATCTGGAGTATTCTCTAGCTTCTTGTAGCGATCAGACAACTTCGGCAGGTATAAGGAGTGTGGCGTCGGTGTCTTCGAAACGGTCAATTCGAAGTCCAATTTTTCATCCCCTTTCTTTGGCGAAGAGCCACTTGCGCCCATATCCGAGTACGGCGAAGTTGGCGAAACAACCAGCTCGTGCCAGGTATTCTTGGGGGTTGTCACGCCGTGCTTGGGTTTGATAGGGCCGGTTGGCGTGATGATGGTCGATGAGGCAGGCACCGAAGATTGAGAGATATTCTGGAAGACGTGGATTGGAAGTGCATCAAAGAACTCGTGGGCTAGTATGAAAGGCGCTGCCGTATGCTCTGTGTATGTTGTCAGTACGCTGTTGATGAAGAGAGTAGAGTCGAGCGCGTACCTTTTGGCACCAGCCTTATGTCTTCGCACCACTCGATCCTGCAGGAAGGCATGTACTTGCATTGTGCGGTTAGACCAATGTCGCTCTTCTTCAGATCATCGGTGTCAGACAGCAACTTTGCTTGCTGTTTCTGTAGGTAAGGTGATGCTTCGATGAGATAAATAGCCTCGATGCTATTTGTGAAAGCCTTGAAACTAGATATGGTCTGCCATCTTGTAAGCATGCTTCGCATTCTCTACTATTGGCAGAGCACCATACCCTCAGTACATCGTCCATTAGCGTTCCTCGTCCGGGCCCAACCTCGATTATCTGCACCTTGTCTTTCCTTCCTTGGGCAAGCCACTCTGCGTATAGCCATATACCAATAAGCTCGCCAAATACCTGGCTAATCTCTGGCGATGTCACAAAGTCACCCTTTGTGCCAAATTGATCCTGTCCAGTCGATGTTTGTCTTGTGTAGTAACCGCCTTCGGGGTGAGTGAGGCATTGTCGCATATACGCCGCTACCGAGATTGGACCTGTCGTCTGAAGCTAATGTTAGACTTGCTTTCATACTGGGAAGGGGACTCATACTGTAATAGCTTCAGCCAGCGTCTTCGCCAGCGGCGTCGACCATTGTCGTTCCGAGTCGGAAGATGTAGAGGCAGAAGTCGACGACCACCGGGAGGCACATTTCGTTATTCGGATCGACGTTTGTCGTGGTAACGATCGACTACACTGTGTCGCTGTCCGCAGTAGGTTCAGAGGTTTGGTCCTCATGTCGGTCTTGTTTATCGAAGCTCCATGACGTTGGCGCGTTCGGAACTACAGAAAGTTTAGATCGGAACGCCAACGTGAACGAAGCTATGACCACCATTTAACGATTCACACGTGCTATCGGTCCAACCAGCGCCATCTACACGGAAACACACCAACCGGGTCCTTCTGGGAAAACCAAACCGACTTAACCTCAATACACGCCTTTGCACATAGATACTAGTGGAAGTCGGTCTCTTGGTCAGAAAGGAAAGAGAAAGAGCTATGGCATCACGATGGGCAAATGATGAAGCAGACAAAGCCGAGGAAGCGCGTCGGAAGAAAGAGAAAGAAGAGAAGAAACGCCTGAAGCTTCAGAAACAGCAAGAGGCGGAAGCAGCCTCACGAACAACGCAAGAGGCGGAATCGAGACCTGCAAAGCGCAGGAGATTATCAACAGGCGACGATGACGAGGGAGCCGCAAAGCCCAAAGAAGAAGAGACCGAGAGGAAGCTCTTGCGATTTCAAGGCGGAGCTTGGAACCCTTGTCGACATATTTCCAACTTCGAGACCCTCAATCAGATCGAAGAAGGCTCATACGGCTGGGTCTCACGAGCGCGCGACATCACTACAGGCTCCGTGGTCGCCCACAAGAAAGTCAAAATGGACTACAACCAAGACGGTTTCCCTATCACCGCGCTACGAGAAATCTCCATCCTGCAACGCTCCAGACATGCCAATGTCGTCGATCTTCTGGAGGTTCTATCTGGTGACGACCCGCAAGAATGTATCCTGGTCATGGACTTCCTCGAACATGACCTCAAGACATTGCAAGAAGACATGAGTGAGCCATTCATGGCAAGTGAAGTCAAGACATTGTTACGACAGTTGGTCTCTGGCGTCGGCTATCTGCATGAGAACTTCATCATGCACCGCGATCTCAAGACATCAAACATCCTACTCAACAACCGTGGCCAGCTGAAGCTTGCAGACTTTGGTATGGCACGATATATCCCGCCGGCGAACGCACCCCTCACACAACTGGTCGTCACGCTATGGTATCGTGCGCCTGAACTTCTACTAGGGACTCGAGATTACGGGACGGAAGTCGACATGTGGAGCGTAGGCTGTATATTCGGCGAACTGCTTGCAAAAGAGCCGTTACTACAAGGCAAGAACGAGGTCGACGAGCTCTCACTCATCTTCTCCCTTTGTGGTCTCCCATCAGAGAAGTCTTGGCCACAATTCTACCGCCTGCCCAACTCCAAATCACTAAAGCTACCGCGCGACCACCGCAACGCCCCAGGCTTCAACCGTGCAAAATTTCCCTTCTTGACAGCGTCTGGCATTGAACTCCTCTCTTCGTTGCTATCCCTGAATCCAGACCATAGGCCTACAGCGAAAGAAGTACTGGAGCATCCTTACTTCAGAGAGCAACCCAAGCCGAAACCGACCGAGATGTTTCCCACGTTTCCAAGCAAGGCCGGGCAGGAGAGGAGAAGGAAGAAGAGTCCGAATGCGCCAAAGAGAGGAGAGGCGCCCGGCATGCAGGGCAACGTGGATTTTAGTAGTATTTTCAAGGGCAGAGAGGAAGAAGAGAAGGGAGCAGGATTTCAGTTGAAGATGACCTGATTGATTGCGAAGACACGTGGGCATGTAGGAAACTTCTTTCAAGGCAAGATGGACTTCGCCCAACTGAGTCTGCGACCAATTTCAATTAATGTATACCATTGGTCTGGCCAACCGAATAGTCCAACCGAGCTCCTACTTGACTGTGCGGATGCCTCTAGGCTTTTCCAGCCGACAATGAAGACAATCTTGCGTCTCTCATCTGCGGTCTCTGCTTCGACTCCGGTCGCTGCCATAGGAGCTATAGCTTGGACTCCTCCTTCCGCCGCCTGCACCCGCGCGACCTCCCCTCCTTGGTGGACTGTCCCGCCTGCCATAGCCTCCTCCCCCACTTCGTCTTGGTGGTGTTCTGGATGGCGAGCGACTGTAAGAAGAGCGCGATAGGCTTCGTCGTGGTGACCGGCTGCGAGAACGTGTGTACGACCGTGGCCGTCCTCCGTAGGCCCCTCGTCCACCACGACCGCCTCCGCCTCTGCCCCGACCCCAGTGTCCTCGATCGGGCGACATTCGACGCGGTGGAGATCGATAACGGCCATCCATAGGTGGTGGCCTGTACGCGCCAGGTGGGCCTCCGCCCCTCGGTCCCCGTCCACCGCGCCCATAGCCACCTTCGTAGTCGTCGCGTGGCGGCGGGCCTCTACGCGCGGGCGGAGGTGTCTGTGAGAAACGCCGGCGGGGAAGGACAATGGAAACTTGGATCTTGGCTCCATCTAATTGTGCGTCGTGCATCTTCGCGATTGCGCGTTCGGCGTCGTCGATCTCCTCGTAGAGAATGTAGGCTATGCCGCGATTGATGTTGACTGTTCAATAGTCAGTCCTGCTCTGTGGGGAGGTAGGGCGAAACATACAGGTGGGGTTCATGGGCATGGTGAGTTCCTTGATGACACCGTACTTTCCGAATATCTCGCGCACGTGGTCTTCTTTGACGTTCCTGGTCAAGGCTTCAACTACGATCTGTTGGTGGGTCAGCGTGCTGGTGCAGGAAGGCTGAGGCAAGGCAGCTCTGAAAGTTGCGTCTAGCACAGGGAGTATGCTTACCTTTGCGCTTCTAGGTGCTGGCGACCGATCTCTTGGAGTCAAACTCCGGGAATAACTTCTGCCTCTCGAGCGCGATCTGCTTTCTGGTGTGTAGCTCCGTCGCCCATTGCGCCGTGGAGACGGTGATGTCGGCGAGCGCGATCGAGTAATTGAACGAGACCGTGTAGGCGAGCGAGGGGTGACGGAGCGGCGCGGCGAGCCTGACTGCGCCGACCGAGGGCGGCTGGGTGATGTTGTGTGCGACGGGTCGCGAGAAGGGCTGCGCGTGCGCGAGCGTGCGGGAGATGGAGAACGAGATGGCATGTCTTGGCTGTCGCGCAATTTCAGTCGTAGCAGTGTCCTGTTGCGTGCTCTTCAATGTACACTCGGTGGTTGGGCTTGTAGTTGCTTTGTTGGTCATGTCTAACGCGACGTAACTTTTGGATGGTAGCTCCAAGCTTCAAGCTCGTCTTAGCGCTGGCACGTGACTAGCGGGACGTGTTCGCAAACAGCCATCACACAGTCAAGGGCCAAGGCAGGGAATAGATCGGCAATGTAGGAAGAGAAATGAATCGCCAGCTTGTACAAATTGCACAAGGTGCATGCTGAAAAGCCAGTCGTCCCTCAAGCTCCAGCTAATACGTTTTCGTATCTGCCGCGGAGCTCGATTGTGTGATGTCTGCAATTTAAACGTTTGCTTCCGAACAGGCCAGAGACGGGCTAAATAGTAGACCTGTGAAGGACCTGGACTCGGACGGTTCCAGTGTCCGCTATTGCGTGACTGTTGGATCGACTGCTGAATTGCCAGCACTCTGACCCGCTATCCGTCCTCGACCCCAGAGCGCGGCGGATACCAGGCGGGTATCGCGGTGGACATAGCTAAATGCGGCGCGCTCAGTGCCGTCGCGTTAGGCATCGAGGGCAGTGGTGACCCCCACCAAGTAGGCAGCTGCATGATAGCGCAAATAGGACGCGTGACGGGTCGTCAGATTAGAAGCTCAGAGGTTTGCGAGCTGGAATTGGAGGAGTGAATTGCGTCCGTTAGATTTCATCGCGAGAGGCGGGGTCAAAACAGCCCCACTATCAAATCGCAACTTTAGCCCAACAACGCAGCCTTGAACACCCTCACCGCATTTACCCTCTTGCTCTGCTTAGTCAAAAGTACCTGCATCTACTTTGCCGCATCCCTCTTCATCTTCCCATCACCACAAGCTTCCACAGCACGCACATCAACCCTCCGCAACCATGTCCTGGCAAGGTGAGCAGCTCGAGGCGTCGAGCTTGGAAGGTCCTGGCTAACTTTGGGCGCAGAATACGTTGACACCAGGTACATCAAGCCTCCCAATCTATCACCTGTCCATGACTAACGTCATCACAGCCTCGTCGGCACTGGTAACATCGACAAGGCCCTCATCTGCGACATCGAGGGCTCGACTGCCTGGGCCGCCTCCGCCGACTTCTCGGTAAGTCGTCCGATACAATACGCGCCGGACACAGCGAGCACTCCAGAATCAGAGCTCCGGTGGCGCATAAACAATAGATTGGTGTTGACCAATTACAGCTGTCCGCTGAGGAAAGGGCTGCCATCGCCAAATCCTTCAACGACAAGTCAGAGCCCAAGAAGGTCATCTCGGAAGGTGTCAAGGTCAACGGTGTCAAGTACATGACCATCGAGGCAAGCGACGACTCGCTCAAGGCGAAGAAGGTACGTGCCAGACATTGCCCACCATGAAGTGTTCAAGCACTGACAACAACCCCAGGGAAAAGAGGGCATCGTCGCTTTCAAGACTACCCAAGCCGTCATCATCGCCCACCACCCCGACACCATCCAGACTCCCAACGCCTTCAACTCCGTAGTTGAGCTCGGCGAGTACCTGAAGAAGCACGGAATGTAAAGCGCCTTCGATTCGAGCCTGTTTGTACTTTAGGGATATTTGCATAACCGAGTTGCGGAGCGATGGATGGCATCATGGGCGACTGCTCATGGACATATATATGATTGACGATGGATGAAATAGCGGCATTGGAGGATCCTCTTCGATACAATGACAACTCTCAACCCCTAAACCAGAACCTTGTTTGTTGCAGGTCCCAAAGAGTACTGTGCATCTCGCCGCCGAACATGCCAGTCTAGCTTCACATGTTGACTACAACAGCGACAAGAGACAAGCACACCGGAGCACATGTATGATCAAGCGCATTCACATCATTTCATGATGGGGCACAGACGTAACAAGCATGGGTCAGATATGTTCATGGTGTCCTAGCGATAAATGAGAGGGAAAATGCCTAAAGACCCGTCATACATGCCAACTTCTTCACGACCTTTTCTCCAAATGCCTCCTGTAGCTGGGCAGCAACAACCTCTCTCTTCTCATCTGCATTTTCATCGAGATCAAACGCGGTAGGCCCTTGCAAACAAGCCCTGATAACACCCTCCACCGTGTTACCTAGATAACTCTTTACGCCCCGTAGATGTTGTGGTTCCGTCTGTAGCAACCTCTTCTCCACAGCCCACGTATGCTTAGGCCGCGCCTTTTCAAGATCGATAGACAGAATTTGGTCAATGGTTTTCCAGTAAGCGATCTCCAGTAGCACGATACCGAGCGAGTAGAGGTCGAACGACTTCTTGTAAGACTCACGACCACCGGCATCTTCGCGATTCCCTCTATGCTGTACGGAGGGATGACGATAGATGTCTGCAGTGGGATTGTCAAGAGGCCGTTCAGTCATATCATCGCTGGTTGCCGGACGAGAATAGTCGAAACCACTAATCAGAGGATCCGCGTAGTTGACCTCGCCGTGCGTGACCTGACCGTTTTCAACTCTTCCTCCCTTCTTCGGGAAGAGGAGGATGTTGGCCGAGCGTAGGCCCTTGTGAAGCCAATCCACCGCATGGAGACGTTCAACTGTCTCGGTAAGAAGTCTCATGAGTGTGATACGGTCAGTGAGCGAAGGTATATCGTTCTCGGGGTTTGCGATGAGTGCGTGTAGAGATGTCGGTTCAGTGTCCGCCGGGACGGACGCCGGCTTTTCGAAGACTAGCCCGAAACGTCCTTCGTCCTCATCGATAAAGTAGCCTCGGCAGAAGGGTGCTCTAAACCGGACTGTTCTGTTGTGCTTACTGAGTAAGGCGGCCAGTTTCTTGACGCGAGCGTGGATCTTGGCGTCCACAGCACCATCCTGCTGCATGGGACCCGTGGTATCGGGTGATTTCCATTCTATCCACACAGGTGTGTTCTTGTAGTATGCCTCCGTGCGTACACCTTCATCAATCTCCAGGGGAAATTGACTGCCTAGCTTAGGGCGTATGTCCATGTACTGGAGCTGGGTATCACGAATGTCCTTTGGAAGATCTGGCATGTTGATCTTTTCTGCATAGCTTGTGGTAAGATCTTCGTGAGAGTCTTCGATAGCAAGGTGAATGAAGTTTTGCTGGGCTAAAGCAGCAAGAGGCTGACGGGCGGCACCACGAGCTGCGACGGCACCACTGTCCATCATACCATCATATTCGGAATCTTCCATCTCTATCAGTGAATAAGCCCTTCGAAAGCCAATCTGTTCTGATTGCTGGGATTGGTAGATTTGAACCATGTGCGACATCGTCCGGTTCAGCAAGACTATTTGGTCATTTGTACGCGTCTGCATATCGATGAGCAGGTCTACTTGAGCTTTGTCGAGCGCTTCGTGCATCTTGTCGTTGAAGTCGGCCAGTCTCGCGATTAGCTTCTCCATCTTGAGGTGATCGAATACAGCCCATTTGAGCCTCTTTGGTACATCCTTGAACTGTTGCACGAATTTGAGGGACATTTTTACCAGCTCGTCAGTAGGCGGGAACCGGACAGACCTTGCATTCCCTTCGCCAGAGCCGTTGGTATCGTCTTCGATCAGGCGATCAAAATTTTGTAGGACGAATGCTTCAGCTGCTTCCTCTAGGAGAGGCTCTGTAAGTCTCTCGTACTTCTTGTCTAGTCGGCCGAATGAGAAGAGAAGCTTTTGTTGTTGCTCCATGATGTTGATAATGAGGCCTTTCGACATGTGATTCAGGACCAGTTTGTCGTCTCGATAATCGAGCTGTACAAGCTTTGCCCAGTTGAGAAGTCGATGTTCTTCCACTTTGAAGTTGACCAGAAGCGCTTGGCAGTCTTTGCGAAGATGACAAGCATCTGCGATCAGTTCGTAACCTAATCAAGATTATTAATGCATCTTCAGGCGTAGGTCAATGGGTATGCCAACCTTGGATACATCCCGCAAACACCTGGAAGAAGAAGGATACACCTCCGATAGCCAACTCTGCCATCTCTAAGGCTGTTCGGAGTAACCTTTGAAAGGGACAGCTGGACGGTCTCGCCGAGAGAGGAAAGCAATGAGATGAACGCAGACTTGGAGAATTACTCAAGGGTAAGCAGCGAGAAGGCTGATATTTCTATCAAACCTTCATGGCGACATGAGAGCATAGCACGCCGCGATGCAGGCGCGCAACCTGATCTGTAACCAACACTGCCCCGTGGCCTCGAGCTGAAGGCCGTCATCACATCCCAGACCAATCCAGGAGGCTGGAATAGTGGGGTCCGGTAAGGGTAACAGCGCGATGGCGTTTTGCGATACATGACGAAGGCTGCAATCGTGGCTGAGGAGCGTTCTGCTGAACTCGTTAGGTGCAGCAGAGACATCACCTGGAGGTGATAGGCTGACGGGTGTATGCCTCGAGGAAAGCCGCGGCCCGCACAGCCACGCTAAGAAGCCACGCGAACATGGACCCTGGTCGACGCGTCGCATGCTGCCACCCATTTGCTCACCACCAAACCAGTGACAGGCGGACCGGTCACCAGAGCTACGACGGGCATCTGGCCCCCCGGAAATGCTTCTCGAGCATCTGAATCCTTGGTATCGCCCCGCATCAGAGTTCGAGCCAACGCCCTTCATCGCCCTCTTCTTCCGAGCTCCCGTCAAGCTACTCCTCTACCATGCATACCACCTTATCACATGTCTGCGCTCACCCCCGAAGCCTCTACAACGCCCACCCATTCGAGTCGTTTGCATATCCGATACGCACAATTTGATACCGGAAGATGTACCGGAAGGCGATCTGCTCATCCACGCTGGTGACATGACGAATGACGGAAGTGTGGCGGAAATACAGAAACAAATAGACTGGCTGAGCTCGCTCCCGCATAGAGAGATTGTAGTGATCAGTGGGAACCATGATACTTTTTTGGATCCAAGGACACGACCATCGCTGTCCGAACAGCACAGGACTGGAAGGCTCAATTGGAAGAGGGTACACTACCTGCAGCACCGACGGTTGAGCCTAACGATCAAGGTTGAGCCTAAAGACGGCGATCAGATGGATGTTACCACACCCTTGCTCGCAGCGGAGCCAGGTCAGAGAAGGATACGAATCTACGGCGCACCACATATACCAGCATGTGGAGACATGAACGTGCATGCCTTCCAGTATGAAAGGGGACGAGACGCGTGGTCAGAAACTGTGCCTGAAGATATCGATATATTGGTCACACATACACCGCCGAAATACCATCTGGATCTGTCCCTGCCGACGGGGATCGGCTGCGAGCACCTCCTTGCTGAGGTCAGGCGAGTGAAGCCAACACTACACGTCTTCGGCCATGTGCATTGGGGCGCAGGGCAAACTGTAGTTTGGTGGGACAGAGCTCACGATGCATATGTGCGAGGGCTTTCAATCAAGTCCAAGTGGACGCGAGGTATCCTGAATCCAAAGCTTTGGTGGAATGTAGTCAGGGTCGCGTACCGTGGCATGCGAGAGCTGCTCTGGGATCGCGTGTGGGGCGGGCAGAGTCCAAATACTATCATGGTCAATGCAGCCCAGACGTGTGGAAATACAGGCAAGTTGGGCAATCCTATCCAAGTCGTCGACATTTGATATTGTCCGTCACGTAATACCCAAAGCAGTCGTAATCGTAATGTGTAAACCTCATAATCAACACAGCAGTAAGCACTTGATTGTCGGGAACTCTTTTCGAACTAAAAAGGGTTCTGTTGATTTAGCTTGACTATCTCGTAGGAGAAGCCAAGTACAACAAGGAGACCAGGCGATTCGCCGTTCCCCGCGACTTTATTTGATTGTGGTCATGAAACCATAAATCGTGCATACCATGCCATGCCATATTCCACCACTGAGCCAATGATTTGCGCACATGCTCAGAGACGACGACCACGGCGACCACCCTTCCTCCTGGTGGAGTCGGATGGGGTGGGAGTAACGTCCTCGATACGTCCGATGCGCATACCAGCACGGGCAAGAGCGCGGAGGGCGGACTGGGCACCGGGGCCGGGAGTCTTGGTGCCGTTACCACCGGTGGCACGGATCTTGACGTGGAGAGCGGTGATACCGAGTTCTGCATATGTTAGCTCCTGTTCCCGTTCCAGATTATCCATTCCAATCATCTTACCCTTGCAGCGGGCAGCAACGTCCTGGGCTGCCAACATGGCGGCGTAGGGAGAGCTCTCGTCACGGTCGGCCTTGACCTTCATGCCCTTTCGTACTGGTCAGCGGCTGTCGCATGCAATCGGTATGGCTGCACTTACACCGGTGACACGGGAGATGGTTTCGCGGCCAGAAAGATCGGTGATGTGGACGAAGGTGTCGTTGAATGAAGCGAAGATACGGGCGACACCGAAGACAAGCTCACCCTGCGCTGCTGTCAGTCCGTGTCGTCGCAATTTCCAATGTCTGCTGGGCACGCACCTCGCGGACCTGGGGTCCGAGCTGGATGTTCTCCTGGGGAGCGCGGGCAACCTTCTGCTTGGGAGGCATGTTGGCGGTAATATGGGTTTCTTGACGTGACTGGCGGTTCGTAACACTGTCGGCGATCGAGTCGAACTTTCGGTGGTGGGAGGTGGAATTTCGCTTGTTCGCGGGTGTCGGAGCAACCAAAACGCCGTGCTTAGCGCGCCAAGCCGCCTACTTAACTTTTCTTTGGCTGCCGCAAGCGACCTGCAGTCTCTCCATCGCTTTGCAATGGGCTGACTTCCTCCACCTCACTCACGCACAAGAGCGTGCGACACAACAGCAGCCATGGACGATCGCAAGAGCGTCGGTATTATCGGCATGGGCGACATGGGCAAGATGTACGCCCGCCGGCTGAGCACAGCTGGCTGGAAGTGAGTGCACTCGCGACTGATAGCTTCGGAGCTCCAGTGTCTTCTGCAAATGGTAAGTCCTTCACTCTCTCATCCTCCCCTCCCCCGTTATGATGACCGTGAGTGCATTTGGCTCGAGTACGGCACATGTCCACACTGCTGCCGTCTTGGTTTGCAGTAATTGGGCATGTTGCCGTCCATGATGTGAATTCTCGCTACCTTATTTTATACACCTCTGAACTACGACCAACTACATCGCATTGTTCATTACTATGGCGCGAACTTTGCTAACCAGTGGCTCACAGATTGATTCCTCTCCGTCGAACGCGCTGACATGCTCTCGTTGAAGGGTTCACGCCTGCGATCTTCCAGACAAGTTTGATACATTAGTGGCAGAGTTTCGGGACTTTGTAGGATAGCGCTTTTATATATCAATGAACGAACGCATGCTGAGACTGCGCCAGCCCAGAGTTGAGATCATGCAAAGTGGTCATCTTGTGTCTCGCTGCAGCGACTTCATCATATACAGCGTCGAGGCGAAGAACATCGACGCGGTCGTTAAGACCTTCGGCCCATGTATGCCGTCTCCTGTCACGGATCAGTGTTGTTACTGACTCGAGCCTACGTTCAGCTACAAAGGTCGGCGCAATAGTCGGTGGTCAGACCTCATGCAAGGCCCCGGAGATGGAGGCTTTTGACAAACACCTTCCTAAAGACGTCAGCATTGTCTCCGTGCACTCCCTCCACGGGCCAGGCATAGACCCGAAAGGGCAGCCACTGGTGCTGATCAAGTATCGCGCCTCGGATGCTGACTTTGCGTTCGTGGAGAATGTCATGTCCTGCCTCGGGTCCAAGCACGTCTATCTTTCCGCCGAGCAGCATGATCGCATTACAGCGGACACACAAGCTGTTACTCATGCCGCTTTCCTCAGTATGGGCGGTGCATGGTTCGCGAACAACCAATTCCCGTGGGACAGCTCGCGCTACGTCGGTGGTATTGAGAACGTCAAGATGAACATTACCCTTCGCATCTACTCTAACAAGTGGCACGTCTATGCAGGTCTTGCGATCCTCAACCCAGACGCGAAGAAGCAGATTAAGCAGTATGCCGAATCTGTGACCGAGCTGTTCAAGCTCATGCTCGCAGGGCAGCGGGACGAGCTCCGTGAACGTGTGCATACCGCTCGCAAGGCTGTGTTTGGCGATAACGAGGATGGCAAGAAGCTGCTCCTTCGAGATGACTTGCTTGACCGATTCGCTTTAGGCACAATCCCAGAGAAGAAACTCAAAAACAACCATCTCAGTCTACTCGCCATGGTAGACTGCTGGTGGAAGCTAGGCATAGTCCCCTACGACCACATGATCTGTTCGACGCCTGTAGGTCCCCAGTTTTCTTTCCTCTTTACATTACTCTTCCAAATTCTTATCCACTAACACACATTCAGCCCTCGCGCATGTGGCTCGGCATTACAGAGTACCTCTTCTGCAACCCCACGCTCCTCGAGGAAGCCATCGACACGGCCATCGACGACAACACGTTCCGGGCCGACGACCTGGAGTTCACCTTTGCCGCCCGGGACTGGAGCTCGCGTGTCAGTCTGGGTAACTTTGATGGCTACCGGGAGAAGTTTGAGGAGATCCAGAGATACTTCGAACCGAGGTTCCCGGAGGCGACCAAGTTAGGGAATGAAATGATCAAGGTCATCTTGCAGAAAACTCAGGAAACTTGAGGTTCTGAGTAGAACCCATCAAGGGTTTAGTAGATATTGAAGGAAAGTCCTGCGATAATTATACGCATGAAAGTGGACACGGATCATAACATATAGGTGTAGAATGCACGTCGTGAAGTCAAAAATATATACATTACGTGCATACTCATGTACCCAGCCGACCCAACGCCTTGTCCTTCAAACTACGCACTTGGATTTTCCACAACTCGATCGTGTCGGCCGCTTTCACATTTAGTTTCTTGTAGCCTGTCCGGACTCGAACTCAGTACTCTCCCCGATGTCGCAAACCCCAAAACCTTCTTTGCCTCCCTTGATCCCCTTCCACTCACAAGCCTCTTGCAGCTCCTTTGGTGGTGCCATGACCTCTTCCTCGGTCAACACCCAAGTACCCCAATGCATGCCTAGCGCTCTCCTGCATTTCGTGTCCACGAAGATGTTGACCGCATCTTTGGGGCTAGCATGCACGTTACTGTACATCCAACGAGGTTCGTAGGCGCCAATAGGGATAAGACCGAGATCGAAGGGGCCGCGATGTTGACCGATCTGTGAGAAAGCCGGGCAAGTGGGTAAGTGCGAGTACGCAGCCGAGTAGTCGTCTTCTGTGGTTGGAATGCTAGCCGGAACCGTGCGGTAGCCTGTGTCACTGGGTAGGGTCAGCATAAAGAATGAGTCATGAGTGTGGTACAAAGCAGACGTACCCAGCAAAGTAGACCTTCGCTCCGCCAGATTCCACACTCCAGCTTGCCCAGAGCGTCTTGGCCTTGTCGAAGGGCGTCCTTGCACTGATATGCTGACAAGGCAGCGCACCAATCGTTGCTGTAATACCACTAGTCTTGCCCATGTCCACCGAACTCACAGAAACAGAGCCAGCCCTACCCCCCTTTTGCGACAATTCCTCCAACTTGACATCTCTACTCTCCCACCAATCCAATTCTGTGACTTTCGTAACCCCGCTCTTCTCAAACCACTCTTTATTTCCTAGGGGCGCAAAGAAATGCGCCTCGGGGAATTTCTTTCTCAAGCGCTGGATTGTTGGGTAGCTTAAGTGATCGTAGTGATTGTGGCTTATAACTACTGCGTCGACAATTGGTAGATCTTCAATCTCACATGGAGGGGGCGTGTAGCGTTTAAGGCTCTTTATAGTGAACGGTGCACAGCATTCTTCAAAGACCGGGTCAAAGAGAACACGAAAGCCGCTCGGGAACTCTATATAGTAGCATGCGTGACCGAGCCATGTTGCACGAAGTCGTGGTGTCTCTCGGGAGGGAAGGAACATTGGTTTGTGGACTGGTACTGTCGGTGGCGAGGTGTCTGGATTGTGGGCTTGACCGGTAATCTTGCGCCTACCACGGAGTGTTAGTTCGCAACTTGTAAAGTCTTCATAAAATTCCCGTATGCCGGACTTACCAGAGCATACCCTTGATTTGCAGTTCCCAAGCACTTGACTCGATATAGCTATCCCACGGGTTCGTAAACCCCTTGCCGTTCTTCAGGTGATGTCTCTTTTCATCGGCTTCCTCGGGTTTCGCAGCAATCTGTGCTGGATTGCTTACCGCGGCGTAAAGACCTACGCCAATACTTGCACCACCTATTGAACTCATCTTGAGCGTCCGAGCAAAGTGTGGTTTTTGCCAAAAGGGCTGACGTTTCCCCCAAACCTGGTAGTTTCGCGATTCACTGAGTAGCCTTCGTATGATGCGAGACGGAAGCGACAGGCGAGACATTGGATATATACACGCGTCTAGACTAAGTCAAGCGGCCTAAATAGGAGCTATATTGTATTCGCGAAAGAGGAAAACAATGCGCGCCTACCCTCGGCCGCATTTCATGTAGTCGGCGAAAAGTTGGGCCAGACCGGAGATAGCCATCGTCGACGTTAAGGCCGTAGATGCATCCAAGTCGTCATGCAACTCGCTCGCTACTGGCCGGGCCCACCAGGCAACAACAGTATTGGATGAGCGGCTTGTCTCCTTGTCCGAATCTTTCGCCATGCGCGCACGCCCAAATTCGCTTGGGCAGACACTCTTCAGCTTGCGCGATCGCAGCGCACGATATATCGCGGTCGAATCGGCGGAACCCGATGTCGTCCGCATGACGCACGTCGCACGCCGCATATCCTGCGCCGCATGCAATACGCGGAGCTTGTACTAAACTGTGTCCACCCACAATATCTATCATCTGAAAGAGAGAGTAGAGGTAATACATTCATAACGATAATGAAATAATGGGCCAAGCTGGATGCTACATCAGAGCTGACTAGATATCGCCAGTGCTGATAATTCGGAATTTGGCGATCACACCCACCTCAAAGTCGCATTCCTGATGGCTGACTGGAGGTGATGCCTGAACAGATCATACCACACAGTAGGGGAGTGTGAATACAGTGCCCATACCCGTGTAAGTGACGAAACACTGCCTCCATGCTAACAGTGCATATCCCAATCTCGTCCGATAGCGATATCTTTGCAACCAAATCCCCTTGTGCGCTTCGGTATCTTCAAGTGATAGAAATAACATCTACTACCAAGGTCGTTCCTCAATCGGCACTTCTCCTGTTGTTTTCCAATAGCTTATCGCATCTTGGTATGCTTTCTGGTAAGTCTTCCGTCGATCCTCCATTGACGGTCGGTCGGGGTTGTTCTGGTCGTAATCGTTTTCGATATTGCGGAACTCTGCGTCTGCGGGAAAGATCTTGTCACCCGCAGCCGGCTGAATATAGTATACTCGCAAATCTTTGTCGACACGATTATCCTTGCTCCAGCGTAGCAGCGCGTCCAGATCTTGACATTGACGATTGTAGGTGAGCTCAGGTTCCGCCGCTGGCTCTCCTTCGACCCACATGTAGTTGAGAACATCGTACTGGACGTAGCACGTCAAATGATCCACCAAGGCGTGGAGACAGTGCTCGGTATGGATCCAATCCATTGTATCGCTACAAATGTGAAGATACGGAGTCAGTGTATATCTCACATGCAATTTGCGCGGCTACAACTTACTTTGGGTATCCGTAATAATCACGGTAAAGGCGCTTCCGGATGTGATCGAGGCAGTGAATGTTATGTGGATGCGCGAATCGGGTGATGAACTTCTTTTCGCCGTAGCCGAAGCTTTGGGGGACACTGATATAGCGGTCTGGATCTTTGCCAAGGATGCGCATGTCGTCCTCTGTTATCAAAAATGGATAACCGGAGGTTAGCGCATGCCATGCTGCGTCAACTTCTGGACTTGGCGGTTGCTGCCAGATGGGTCCGTTACTTCTTGCGAAGACAGGAACGTTGGTATGGTTGGGGTGAGTGCTGCGATTGATCTCTTCCAAAAACGATGGCTCTATATCATACTGTGTTAGTCACGTATTCAGCGACAGGAAGACCACGTACCAGATGAGCCCTGTTCATTGCGCAGGTATCCACTGTTGGATATCAAGCCTAAGACGAAGAACAAGATAGCCACCACAGCGTACCTCAAGCATGAGCAAAGCAGTGGGAGAGATGTGGCGGATTTGGTGCGAGCTTCACCGCTTGGAACCGTGGATGGCAAAAGCCCCTCTGACTCTTCGGGGTCTTCACTTCGAGGCGCTCTACGCGATGAGTGATTCATATTGCAGGGTAAGCACTGAAAAAGTGTGAGAATCTATTACGTGCAATGCCTTCAGCATACAAAGTCATCGGGAGATAGCTGAGCCCGCTGCGCGCTTTTGGGGGCAACAACGATAACGAGCATCACAATGAGATACTTACGATCGATGTCGCGGGACGGAGCCTTCGGAGCATCATTACTGAGGGGTACTGCATGCAGGTTGCGTAGGTACGGTCCTGCTTCGGCACATCCGCGGGCCTGTCGAAAGCTACCTAGGTACCACGTTAGAACTGTTGAAGGTCGAGTTCCGCGTCCGAAGCCGAAGCCGAAGACTGCGCGTTTTCTAGTCAAACTTTGTTGTTTCCTGGATATTATGTCAGCTGAAGCCAACTACAAGAAGATCGACCGAAGATAATAACATCACCATCGGAGCGACACGCTACTATTGTGCAGTCTTTACGTACACGCCCGTACTCTTCTCGCTCGTGAAGTATACCACTTCTCTCTTTTTAACCCGTAAAACAGGAAGAAAGGTACCAACCCACATGGAACGAATGCGGAGCCAGGACTCAGCTTAATCATAAGTATACAGGATCAATGTTCCAACGCTTCATGACTGTTCTCCAACAGTCGAGCATGGGCGCGGAAGCCGAATCTGAAAGCACCATAGAGGAGCGAATCGGCCTTACCTCACTCTACCCAAAGAGCAGCAAGGACACATCCAAGCCACGGAAGAACCTCATCCTACGAACAGTTGCTGCCGTTCTCGTTGCTACCCTGGCTATATGCGGAGCTTACACGGTCGGAGCCCAAGCGATCGAAACGCTGACACGGGATGACGCCCCATGCCTGTGCGGATTCACAACTGCCGAGGGAATTTCGCGGAACTGCCAGTTCGATGAGATTGAGTTATGTTGGTTGAGACCGGAATGCATTGACTTCGATCTCACGCATGAGTTCACGACAGCCTCTCGTTCTGACAAGGGGGGCGCCTGGCTATACCAGACGGAGATGGATGGCAAGTACCGTCTCATCAACGGGACCGAGCTATCCATGCTGATCGAGCCCGGGAGGACCATATGGTTTACCTACGAGCAACATGTTGTGCATTGCATCTTCTCGTGGAGGAAGCAGTTCCGACAGCAATTCACAGGCATTGTGATGCATATGACCGCATCGGATGAGGGACATATCAGACATTGCGGTGAGATGTTCATGCTCAATGGTAAGTCCTGGCTGTACGAAATGCATGTGAGACATATACTGACTTCGTACCTCTACCTCTGCAGCTAGCCTGGAAGAGAGGCGAACCAAGCTGGTATACCCGTCTGAAGTGTCGTCAGATTAGCCGGAGCTTCAGTCTATCTAGTTACATCGAGTGTATAGGAGCGATTAGCGCCCACTAAATGAATGCAGTATAATTCCGTCATAGACGATAGCTTCACTTTCAAAGTATCCGATTCGGTCAGAAGGCACCTTGACAGATCCCAACGAATGAGTGGGGGTACCTAGGTAGTCACAACACGGCAGTTCCGGTTCAGTATGCAGTTCGGCGGTAAGCTTGAGATACGTCATTATTCTGCTCACTCTCCCATACGTCCTATCGGTAGCCTCACTATGCACTATGCAAGTGACAAACCTTACAATCAATGTTCAATCATGTTCAATCGAGACACGGCTCGGCCGACTACTATCAAACTACCCATCAAGTAGGGATAGTCATCGCATGGTAAACCAGCGTAGTGAGTACAGGTTCATGGCACTTCTTTAAGCTTTCAAGATATGCGTTGCTGCTCGGTCAGCTCTTTCGTAAGTTCAACAGGCCGCGTCACGATGCAGAAGAGCAGCTCTATCACGAGGTAAGTGTTCGATCATCGATGTCTTTACCAGTGGAGAGTGATGTACAAATAGCTGAGCAGAAACCCCACAGAATAATCATCTTTCGCCCTACAAACGCCTTGTATTGTCCAAGACGGATCTTCATAAGCGATTATCATATTCTCGTTTACGCACAATTTTCAAGATGCACAAGAGTTTGATTTTTCTCGTCGCGTTGGCTGGCTTGTCAGCAGCGACCGCTTCGCGTATGTCCTTCCCTGACCCACGGATAAGAAAGTAAACTTACTAAGTGTCGAAGCTCATGCAGAAGAATTGAAGGACGTTAAGAAGCGCGACACCTACGTGGATCTGTTCAAGGATGACGGGCCAGCTCCCGCACCGGAAGAGGGTGGTGGCGCCTACAAACGCTCTGAAAGGGCCAATTCGGGGAAGCGTGACACCTATATCGATCTGTTCAAAGACGATGGGCCAGCTCCCGCGCCGGACGCTGGGTCGGAGAAGCGGGACACCTACATCGATCTGTTCAAGGATGACGGACCAGCTCCCGCGCCGGACGCTGGATCGGAGAAGCGTGAGACCTAAGTTGATCTGTTCAAGGATCATGGACCAGCTCCAGCGCTGGAAGAGGTTAGAGAGCAGGGAATGATCGGGCCGCTCTAGTGGACGAAGGAAGAGTCGAGGACAAGGCGACTTGGTTCGAAATAAAAGAATGAGAATGAATCTAAATGTTCTTCTTTCCACACTGAACATTTTACCGTGCCTGTACTCGCTACGACCATGCAACACTACCGACTTCTGGCGTGTGCTTTTCTTGTGATTGCAACATATAGTGTGTCTATCACGTATCCAAGAACGCGTACTCCGTTGCACCCTCTCGAGCGTTCAATCAACGATGCCGAGGACTACTTCCAGTCTTTGGCGGTTCAAGAAACGCACACATACGCACAGGCGGTAGAATCATATCGGCACCGACGCGCACGATGTCCACCTCCAGGGTTCCGGGCCTTTCATGAGCGCCTCCAACAGTTGAAAGGAATATCAATTGAGCCATTCTGGGATCAAATCTATGACGACTTGGAGCCATTCTGGGGCATCACAGCACAGGCCACGCAAACTGCTGCGGCCTCGCTGGTCTCTCTCGCCGGGCTTCAAAAGAAAATCGAACGGCTCCAGGGTTTCTCATTCCGACGTGGAGAAGTCCGGGCCAACTGCCCGAGAGAAGACATGACCTGTGACGATCAACTGGGATTGCTCAGACGAATCGCTCCGTTGCTACCAGACATTGACGTGGCTGTGAGTGTGCATGCCTCGCCTCGTGTGCTCGTTCCTTGGGACGTCATGGAGAGAGCCCGACAGCAGGCACGCCAGCATAGTCGATTAGTGTCTCGCTCAGCAGGCGCACAAAGTCATATTCATGGAGGTGTCAGCAAAGCACTTTATGCTAGAACGGAAGACGTCGTGAAAGGGTGGAATCGAGGTAAGCTGCGGTACCGTCATATGCGAAGCTTCGCCAGCTAAAGTTTGGACTACACGTAGAAATCCCTCCATACTCTTTGCGCAGCATTGTCTGCCCTCCGAGAAATGCGTCAACCGATCACGTACCGCTTTCGGATTCTGCTGTTCAGGATGTGTGCAATCGACCAGAGTTGGCTGCTGTTCACGGCACGATGCTGGCGCCTCACCTTGTGTCGACATCATCGACCCTTCTTCCTATTTTCTCGGCAACGCACATACGACACGTGAGCGCCGAGATCACGGTCCCTGACCTCCATACCTGGGTGGATATACCAAGCTTTACCCTCCCCGAACATCTGGTCAACTCGTCTATTGGTGTGGCGTGGTCAGAGAAGCGCAACAAGGTAAGTTTTGGTTGTATCAGATGCATATGAGACATATACTGACTTCGTATGTTCGTCTCTGCAGGCTATCTGGCGTGGCTCCAATACCGGTGGCAGACATAATTCCTTGACCTGGATGAAGTCTCATCGCCATCGATTTGTTGCGTCAATGAACTCCACTTTTCTCGAGGCTATTAGCAGTGGTCAGATCGACTGGGCCAATGCTTCTCTGAATCAAGCAGCACCCAAACCACCGCACTTTGAATGGATGCACGAGCATCTGGACGGTGCTTTTACACAACTGCGCTGCGCTGGGCGAGGCTGGGACGTCGGGGATGCCTGCAGCTACCTTGATCACCATTTCCGAACTGCAGCGCATACATCTATGGCTGACATGGCCACGTACAAGTACCTACCAGACATTGATGGCAACGCGTACAGTGGTAGGCACTCTTGTTCTCGCAAATGATGATATGTGGCATAACATCAGTTGTAGCTCGTTTCCGCGCATTGCTCATGACGGGCTCCCTAGTGTTGAAGGCCACTATCTTCGAAGAATGGCACCGCTCGCGGCTCGTACCGTACAAACATTTCGTCCCCTTCGACCTCGGCAGTCTTCCCGACCTTTGGCACAAACTCTGCTTCTTTATCGGCGGATGTTGTCGAGGGAAGAGTTGTGAGAATCATGACAGGCATGCCGCAGCAATTGGCGAGGGCGCGGCGATATGGAGCCGCCGAGTTCTCCGTAAGGCAGATATGGAGCTATACTGGCTACGGCTATTGTTAGAGTATGCAAGAGTAGTGGATGAAAGAAGACACGTGCTATGCGAGCGGGACGATTATGAGTAGTCGTTCGGGAGAATATTCGGGAAGAAAGTGGTGTAGTTCGTCACATATGATCAGCCGCCAAACTTCTAAATTAGGAGAAGAATACTCTGCATTAAGAGATATTGAGATCAGTACGGGCTGGAGTGAAGAAGCCATGCCCAAGGCAGCCGCATTGCCGCGTAGCACATGATCTGAAGCTGTGTATGTTATGTTAGCAATGATTGTAATGTACTTAATCTGGGCCTCGAAACAGATTGAGCCATTTCAATAAGACATGAAAACATCTGAGGATTTCTGCGCGCGTGAAGCTTCGATGTTTGTGTCCGTGCGCGTGAGCGTGAGCGGCCGATCAGAACGCTGCCAAGCAACGGGCCCCGTCTCCTGGGTCCGGGCCGACAATCTCCAAACTCCCAACAGCAGGGTGACGCGGGAAGCTTTCTGCAGCCACCTCGGGTTTTCTTGCGACCGTCTAAGCAAAATTCGGGCCTATGTAGGAACCTCTCGCATTACCCCTCTTCCTAGAACTATACGAGCCGTCCACATAAGCGCTACGGGCCGTTCTCTTGATCGCTGACTTGGAAGACAGAGCTGAGCGCGATCTCGAGCAGGTGTCAAACGCATTTCGATATCGATCGGATCCGCAGTATGAACAAAGATACCTAGATAGTTCTGTAGATGAGGCGAGCGTGGCCCACAATACCTGCCCGGGTGCTGAGCGACGTTCAGTTGCCTAGGGACATCGTCGATCATTACACAACGCAACAGGGTGTGCACATCGGAGAAATAGACATGTATTGTCGTCATGGGGGTCTTTCATAGGCGAATTTAGAGCTGGGGCTGGTCCACGAAAGCAAAACAGCAGTCTTGTCTTATCGATTCGTTAGGTACCTCAACTATTCGGGCTGCACTCGGCACATAGATGCTGCTGACGTACATAGAGTGATTATAATAATCTTACAGCTGATTGCAACATCCAGTAGACTTCGTAATTGTTCCATCTATCTTGCCTAACATGAAAAGACTGTGGGTTTTAGCCGCTCTCTCGATTCCCACTGAAGCTCAGAAAGACCACGTTCATATCGGGTATGCCGACAAATCTCATGGCGAGGACTGGTATGACTGCGGTCCTTATGGAGGTAAGTCTTTACATGGGTAGAGTACAAACTGGATATATTAACGTCCGATTAAGGCTGGGGTTGTACTCCACCCGTGAGAGGCAGCGAACCGCCGCCGAAGAAACATTATTACGACAACAGCACTTTCAAACAGTTGATAGACCACAACAACCCTAGCCTGGGGACTTTTGACCAGTTCTACTACTACGACACAACGTACTGGAGGGGTCCCGGTTCGCCGGTGATACTGTTTTCGCCCGGGGAAGTCAACGCTACTATGTACCACAGCTTCTTAACCCCCAGCCATGCAACAGGAGCCCTGGCTGAGCAGATTGGCGCAGCTACAATTGTTCTCGAACATCGTTACTGGGGCGATAGCACACCATTCCGTAACTTCACCACTGAAAACCTGAAGTACCTTACTGTCGAGAACAGCATGAAGGATATAACATATTTCGCACGTCAAGTCCAACTACCTTTCGCTACCGACAAGAGAATGGGCAGCAGTGCCAAAGATGTTCCATGGGTAGCTATAGGCGGTAGCTACTTTGCTGCCCTGCTAGTGTGGATTGCAAGCCTCGACCCGGGCACCATATGGGCATACTACGCTTCGAGTGCATCTGTTCAATCTGTTTCTGACTATTGGGCCTACTTCCTTCCAATACAAGAAGCTATGCCGAAGAATTGTAGTAGAGACATCTCTCTTGTTATCGACCATATGGATGATATCCTCAGCACTGGCTCTCGGGATGAGCAACACGAACTCAAGGCCAAATTTGGCATGCAAGACGTCGCTCATAACGACGACTTCATGAATGCTCTGGCGCGTGGTCCCTATCTCTGGCTAGGGAATCAGTTCACATACAACACGGGCTTCTTCACGTTCTGCGACTATATTGAAAACGCAGTCAATGCCACCCTCAACGACCTTCCGTCTGAAGCTGGTGTTGGTGTCGATAAAGCGCTCGAAGGATACGCGGAATGGTGGAGAGAGGTCGAACTTCCCGGTTACTGCGCCGGGGATCTTTATCCTGAATTCAACACTACAGGTAATACTGACTGCTTCAATACCTACAATGCAAGCTCCCCACTATTCACCGACACGACGCCGAGGAACGCCATGAACCGGCAATGGTTCTGGATGAACTGCAACGAACCCTTCGGAAACTGGAAAGTCGGCGCTCCCTCAGGACGGCCATCGCTCATTTCTCGCCTCATAACAACAGACTACTGGGTTCGTCAGTGCGGACTATATTTCCCCCCTGGACCGAATGGAGAAACATATGGTCTCGCAGCGGGGAGAACCGAAGAGCACTTCAATACGTACTTTGGAGGCTGGAATATCACCAACACAAGCCGGCTGATCTTCGTCAACGGCGAATTCGACCCGTGGAGAGAGATCAGTGTTTCGGCAAAAGGGAGACCCGGAGGTCCGTTGCAGAGTACCGAGCAGGTACCAGTGGAAATTGTGCCTGACGGTGTTCACACTAGTGACTTGAATACGAAGAACGGGAAGGTCAACGCGGGAGTGAAAGAGGTGCAAGATCGAGTGTTGAAGCAGTTAGTCGTGTGGGTTGAAGAATGGCCTGGGGAGGCCACATGATCAGCTGTGCACATTGGCTGGCACGCAAGTACCTAGATACTTGGTTCTACCGAGAGCCCTCCAGGCTACCTTTCAACACTTGTACGACGTGATTTCCGATAACAACATTCCTGTCAATCACGAAGGAAAGCGTGAAGTCGATTTCGCCGCATTCCATTGTGGTTCTATCATTATATAAACTTATGATACAGACGTGCTCTGGAAGTTCACGCACGTCTACTTAAGCACTCTACTGATCGGTCAGCACACAGGCTTTTGTCGTAATGAGACGAATGCGTGTTTCAGTTACTCTTCAGAGGTACCAGAGACCTGAGCATACTCTAGAAGACGATTTATAGCCAAAATGCATCTTGATCTATAGTCCTTGTTTGAGCCAGCCAATATCGGAACAAAAAAACTTAGCAGGACGGCTAAGATGATCTAGAGTTAGGCTACACCAATCCTGCTGCAACTTGTTACTGCATGGTTTGCTCTTACTCACCGAATAACGTGTTGGAAGACGAGCATCGATCGAGTGAGGCTTAGCTTTGGGTCACTCATACAAACCGGGTATACAAACAAACCTTGATTACTTTTCAGTCGCAAGTCAACTCGGCCGCGGCCATCTATTTCGACCTCATCCGTGAGGTTTGCACCTACACACGGCTGGAGCAGATCTAAAACGCTCGCGTGTAATGCGCACTTGCGGAAGCACACGGGATCCAGTGCTCCAACGTCGTCTGTCAGAACGGGTTCTACGGGATGGCGGGAACGCTTGATAGTGGTGCCGGGTGGCGTTGAGACCGAACTACCCAGGCTATGTTACGCCCAGATCGAAATGACCGAAACATCATCCTTGCTTGATTTACACAAGCCGGTCGCGGTTGCTTCCGTGATGACAGTCACTGCGGGATTAGCACCGTGGCTTCTTGCTCAAACGAAGGATGTGTGACTGACTCACATTTCAAGACCTGTCACATAATCGAACATACAATTAGAGCCACGGATGCCAGAAGAAGTAGAGTTGAATTTGGCGTTTCCTGTGCGACTGTGCCGCTTTTCTAGGATGTTTTTTTTTCGCATTCTGATGTTACCCCCTTGTCAGGGTATCTCGTTGTATGACAGTTATACACTAAGCAAATCTTTCCTCCCGTTTCCCAAAGCAATGCCCAAACAGAACCGTGTAAAGCAAGAGGTATTTTTTCCACCACTCCGAAAGAAATAAAGCGAATCCCATCGCTGATCTTGTGCCATTAATTACAACCCGACTACAGCGGAAGGCGAGGATCGAGGAAAGAAGTCGTGAACGTAACAAGCGACCCTCCGGTGGTGGCGTGATGCTGGTCGCTACCGAAGGCTTGGTCGCATGGAGAGGCTTGGTGTGCCGAGTGCAAAAGCCGACTCCAGAGAAGAGAAATCCATAAACCGAGATAGGCAGCCCCGTAAACATTCTTGAGGCAGCGCTAGAGAAATGAACAATCGTAAGGTGCGAGATGACACCCAGGTAAAAGCAGGAACGCCGTAACCCACAATTTCGCTGACATGCTCCTATTAGACCATGGACAAACCAAAGTCTAAAACGTAATACCGGTGATACAAGGAAAGAGTGAAGGAAAACGAAGGAAAAAGAACCAGTGAAATCTATCATGCAAGATGATCGCAAGCCTTGTGCGTTTTCGTGAGATCCGGAGGCGCACCAATATGCTTGCAGATAGCAGAAGGAATAAGGCAATGGCACCTTGAGAGTATCTGATAGTCTAGACTCGAGGGAATCGAAGTAGCCAGATGTGTCCAGTGATCGGAACTGGGTCGGCTTGGTAGGCCGTGGTACTTCGCGAAACAGAAGGTAACTTTTTGAACAAAGGAAGTGCTGGAATGGGCAGCCGAATATGTATCCGTGAAGGTGTGGCAAGGCGATGTCGCTTTGATATGCGGCCGGTAGGTGGCGGGCAATTAGACGGCAACAGCCTGTGGGCCATAACCAGGAGCCATGTAGTAAGGCGGGTGCCTCTGCACGCAGTAGGCACATCCGCAGCTGAGACCATGCTGGTTCCATGCAGACGGTGTGTACTGAGTGGAGTAGGCGGGTGGGCCATAATTGGACGGCTGCTGAAGCGCTTGCGCAGGGGCGGGCTGAGACAAGGGTGGGAAACCGAACATGGTGCGACGCGAGTATCCCTCAGCTGGAGCCCAAGTACCCGTTGTGCCGTAGTACTCTGGGGTGGTAGGACCCGTGGTCGGTGCTGACGCAGGAGAGTGCTCGCTAGCGGACCGCCATGGGTCGTACTGCGAGTAGGTCGGAGGGTTGTATGCAGAGTGCGCCGACTTGGGCGCATAGTCGTACGGTGGAGTGTAGGCCTGGTGCATCGGCAGAGGAGGAAGCGGCTTGTTGGGGTTGAGTGAGCGTCGGTGTACCGATGTGTCGATAGGGCTGAGCTTGTTGCTGCGACCAGAGCGGGCAGCAGCACTGTTCTGGTAGTCCTTCCAGTGCTCTGACCATGATGTCCAACCATGCTGCTCAGATGGATCGCGATGAAGCTTGAACTTGATTGCTACGAGCCACTCTAGCTCCAGCTCGTTCAGCTCATGAACCTGGATACCGCTAACCTCGGACCACGAACGGTTGATGAAGGTGTTGTCGTCCAAGAACTTGCTGCCAAGCACAAGCGCGATGGTGAGGAGACGGAACAGGTGAGTGTCGGTCTTGGGCTCGTGAGCGAGCATAGGCATCCTGCTGGACAGGTAGTACATGCTGAGCAGGATGGTAGCCGAGGGCAGCCGTGTGGCGCAAAGCACCTGGTGTACCCATTTGCGGAACGACGAGGGCATCATGCGGCCGGGCGTGATGAGTCGTAGGGCTGTCTCGCACACGAAGTCGGTCATGACGTCCATGTCATAGTCCAGCTTTGCAGACACGCCGCCGACAGGCTTCTCTTCCTTGGCGGGCTGACTCATTCGCTGGTTGTACTCGTGCACGCGCTGCTGCTGCATAGCCGCCTCTGCCAACGCGTGGCCGGATTGTGCGCGCATGGGTGGCAGGGTGGTTGCGCCCATGGGATCGTAGAAGGAGCTCGCAGGTGGAAGACTGGGAGGCGCACTGCTGAGGTAGGTGCCGGCCTGCGGGTACATGGGTGGCATGGCGATGGCCAGGTGGCCGTAGCGGTCTGCGAAGTCGTAACCATCATCTTGCTGCCGGATCGCGGGGCCAGCGTACGCGGGCTGCTGCGGTGGGTATGAGGCGCCACAGGCAGAGTGGTAGCTGGGGACGAACTCCTGGGGAGATAGCCGTGGCATGTTATGCCGGGGGTAGAAGGAGGGCATGATGGTGTGGGACTGCCGCAGAGAGAAGACTGGCGAGGCTCCTGGCGTCGTGTTAGTGAGTGCTGGCGTGACGGGCGTGGCCAGCGGCTTGGGGCTTGTGACGTACAGTCTTCTCGTTCGCGCCGCCTCTAGAGTTGCCTACGGACCCTCTAGAAAGATGTGCTCATTCAAGGAAATGCGACGTCCAGGAGGTGTTTGTGAGTGGTGGAAATGGGTCGCGCTGGTGGTTGCGCAGAGGCGGTGGGTGGCCGGAGAAGTGCCTGGAAGGGAGGCAAAGGGCGCGGCGAGAGGTGAAGGGCAGCTCGAGGGTGATGGAGCGCAGGCAGACCGGGGCTAAGTCAATAGATCCGGCGATGCGAGGTCGTGGTGGGAGATGTCGCGGAGAGTCGAGGTCCCTGGGGATGGGCGGCAAAAGAAAACAGGTTGAAACCAAGGACTATTACACAGTACAAGCCCAAACCAAAGCCGAAGGAAGCACTCGCAGCGTGTGGACAGCGGCGGAGGGGACGAGGCGTTGGGTGTCGGAGCCAGACGGACACGTCTACCCGTGAGTGCAGGTGTGCTCGTTTGCAAGCCCGCGAGACAGAGCAAGCGTCGGGAGGTGCTGGTGAGCGGGCTGGGGATGCCGGACAGCCGAGATTGGGGGCGCACGTCCGTTGGGGCTTGGGGACTGTGTCGCGACGAGCAACGCCTGCGACGACGACAGGACGAGGGAGATGGGGAGACGGGGCACGGGGGAGAGTGAGGATGGGGAGGGCAGAGGGCGGTGATGTGGGTGTATTCGACACACACCGTTAGCGAAGGCCTAGCAGCAGCAGCGAAGGGGCTCTGGGACGCCCGCAAGACCGTCGCCATCCGAAGGCCGCACCTGCAAGAATGGTTCATTACTTGCCCGCTCCTCCACTCATGTGCTATGAAAACTCTGCCTCTTGCAGTTAGTGGGTCGCAGCGTCGACTCCAGCCCGCGTCTTGCGGTGACTGGCACTCATGACTCTCGCCGCAGGAGCGCTGCAGTCGTGGTGCAGCGCTGCACAACTCCACCGCGCCCGGCCAATGAACGCTGCCAGGGACACCCTCTGCACCCGCGACAGAAGCCAGCCACGTATCGCCCTCTTCTTTTGGCGCGCCTGCAGTAGCGGCCTCACTGGTCCGCTGCGCCGTGGTGAGCACCTGTCATCTGAGCTGCTTGGGTTGTGAACAGTGCTCGAGTGCCTGAATTGTGAAGACAGGAGTCAATTTGCACTGGGCGACGCGCAGCCCCGTGCCAGTCTGCGTTTTGTTTTGATGGCTGCTCTCGTGTCGTGGCCGTGGCAATACGCCGGGCCCAAGAATAGCACTGCCATCGCGCACTTCACCACCGACTCGGACCCGTTCGCAGTGCAAAATTGTGCCGCGGCCGTTGAGCGCTCCTGCGACGCCTGGCCTTGTCCGTCGGGCGGGGCCACGTCCTACCATGGGCAAGACGGAGGGTGTCGCGATCAGCGCGACTTATGCAAATCGATCCCGAATCTGATGCCCATGGTAGCGTGGCAGTGACAACGTCGGCGGCGAAACCGGACTGCCTGGTGCCTGTAGGCGAGCGTCATCAACGTCCTCGTCGCCAAATTGCTGCTCGTGCAATCGTCACTGGCAACCCAAGCGCTCGGCGCCCCCCTCTGGGCTCGGTGCAATATCGTAAGCAGGTGCCCACTGTATGCACTGGGATGCATGTGAGGATGTTCGAGCCTTCGAGGCCGGCACCTGCTCCACTCACACCGTCCAACATATTTCTTGCCCACGTCCTTGGCCGCGGATTGGCCCCTCGAGCTCATCAATACCCATAGTGACGCTTGCAGCCCTTACCGTGATTTTCCATCAGGCACCAGAAACATCGTGTTGGTCATGCAGCTGACTTCACCATCCCGCGTAGGAGGCAATATTTGTCTCGTGTGGAGTCGAACACTACGTCGTCCACAACGATATTCACGGCACTTGAGTTTACGTCAGGGATGCGGTGAGGGCGAACACTATGGGCTGGAGAAGGAATAAATAAGTGCCGGCAAGGAGATGCACGCGGTACTGGATTGGCAAGCGATGTTGCTAAGATAACTTCAAATCAGAGTGGCTTAGCGCAGGAGTGACACGTGACTAAGTGTGAGGATAGCCAGGCATCGTGAGATGGCTGAGGCGGCAGTGAGATATTTCCTACCTACCCATTCCAAACGTCTGGGCCTGTGGTACCCTCCAGACCGGCCATGAAAAGCAATTACTGCGAATCTCCTGCGCATTTCGAAGATACCCAAGGCTCCTGCTTGGAAGATTGGTCGCACGCGCGTTTTCGGCTCACACAGTGCCCAACGCGTTCGTGGTGCGCTGGCAACACATGCCGCTAATCCGCATCGCATGACACTGGCAAGTACACGACGACTGCAATGTCCTTGCCGAAGGAGCACGAGATTCTGATGGCCAAATTGTATGAGGCGAACACAGCGCAACATTTCAGATTCATTCAGATTGCGTGCGTTTTGCACGTAGACTCGTCAAGTGACCATGATACTTAAAGGTCAGAGGTCCCAAACGCCGATGTAAATGCTCACTCCCGTGGTATATCCCAAAGCTTTTCACGCCCAAACCAGAGACGAAACCCAAAAAAATATTGACCTCGCGTGGTCTAATTCATCTGTCTGATCAATTCGTTGATCTTGTCTTCCCGGTTGCCTAAGTCACCACCTTCGATGAAGTGCTTGAACTTCCTCTTGCGGAAGCCACCAGTAGGGCTGTTAAGCTTGAACGGCCAGAGGAAGTTCGAAGCAGCCTTGAAGTTCGGCCCAACGGTGCAGATCTCATGGATAAGGTCTTCCATACAGATCATGCCGTATTTGCCAAGGTTCTCTTCGATGATCTCGTTATCCGTCAGAGGAAGGCGTTGCTTGTCGACCTTGCCATAGCCACGCTCTGTATCCCAGTTAATATCTGGCAGTAAACTTGCATCTGTACCGAACTTACTGTAGATGAGCTCACGAACCGACTTCTGGTTCGGGTAGCCATAAGCAACGAAGGGCTCAACAATCTTCAGCATCTCCATAGTCGCCTTGGTAAGCTTGACGAAGACGCCATTGTTGATCTGAAGTAACCGCAGAAGCTGCAGTGTCTTGCGCTTCTTGGGATCAATCTTGTTGATACCCTTTATCCGGACGACGAAGGCGAGTTTGGGCTCGGCGGGGACGTATAGGCTATCGCTCTTCTTGGCCTCGCGCGACAAGCGCACGCGCTCCCGCTCGGCATCGCGGTACTCCTTCACATACTTCTCGGCTCTCGTGAAGATGACCTCGCGCTTCTTCTTGCTCTTGTCTGTGTCATGTCAGCGCTGTCTGCAACAGTGTGTCATGCCATGAGCTCCAGTGAGGACGATTGCATCATTCCCGAAAGATGGTTAACAATTCGACAACATTGACCGTAGTCTAGCCGATAGTGTGGTAGTTATAATCATCGTAATCGCCCTCATGGATCGTCGATAGCATGCTGGGGTTGGTCGTACCTCGCTTCTCGCGTGTTGCGATCGCGCGCTCCTCACGAGCCTTCTCCTGAGACTTCCTCTTCTTGAGGAGGTTCTCAGGCACGAGAGTGATCTCACTCTGTGTGGGAACAGTTCTATTGGGTAAGGATTAGCTTTGGAAACTGCGCGTGGTGTAGGGACAACGTACGACTTCGACGACATGTTGAAGTGGTGTTCGAGAAATTCTTCGGAAGCTCAATTTTTGCCAGACTCTTAGCGTTAGCGCTAGCCGCTATCCCGCAAGCGCGGGCGCCAAGATGCTGCGCCCCACAAAAACAGATGCAGCCGCGACCGAGGTCAAGGGAACATGAGCGCTCCAACGGCTTCGCATTATATCCGCTGTACACCTTGTTTACGTCGCTGAGCATATACGGTAGAGTCTGTACTCCGTCGTATCCCATTCTACATCATACCTCTAAATAGGATGCATTTGGCAACCTTTTCTCGAGTTGCGTCCACCCGTGGACGTACGAGCTTCTGATGTCCACGGGTCTTTATGCCTTTATTTGCAACAGAGTCCCCTGTTACTGATGCTGCTTTTCCTCCCTGTCATCGCTTTTATGGTCATCTCACATACTTTTTGACGGCCAACAAGAGCAATCTCGATGACAGCCACGCTTTGAGAATGCCTTTCCGCCATTGGTCTTCAAACCGATCTCAATAAAGCCCGGCAAAGGAGCGCCTTGCTCACCACGGGCAGCAGCAAACTTCCTTCGGTTTTTCTCCGAAGAAGATTACGATCTTGCCGCCATCTCGTGTCGATTTACATGAGCGTTTGGAGCGATTTCGGCACCCGAGGTATACTCAGTCACCACTGACAAATTCCTCCCAGGCCGCTGCTCCTCTAGTACGACATTGTGCATAGAAAGGGCTCCTCATATCAAGGTCATCTATTCAACCTTTGTTGCGCGAAAATTCACAATGTCACACAGCCGAGCGTGTCCCTACTCATAAGCGCTTGATGTCAGCCTGGTTTACTACTACTCTACCAGGCCACAAACTTCCACATCAACTTCGCCCTCGCGCGGAACGACATCTATATTGTAACCACTGTAGTCATGACTGAACCTATTCCGATTCGACAAGACCCCTATGCCTTAGCTTACCGGTATCGTGAGTATATGAAAGAGAAGCCCCGGGGTCCCGCGGAGCGCAGTAACCCATACTACGAGAGGCTGCTCGCGAATTTACCTGATCCTGACATCAGTGCTATGGATAACCGCTCACGCGCCATTCGGTACGCAAAGAAACATTATGAATGCTATTATGAGATCAGGGATATATGGCGCATCATACGATGGCTGCCACCAGCCGACGAGGAAGATTCTAGCTAGGCGGTAGTAGGTGAGTTCATGGGAACTGGCAACAATCACTATAATGGTTTCTCTTGTTTTGTATTGCTCTATCCCAGGAGTTGATGTCAAAGTTTGATCCTGATGGTTATGCTACTACCACCTTACTAAGT